AAAACAAACCCATAAACAACTTCCATCCATCCATCCATCCATCCCACTGCGAAGGACATTAGGCGCTTCTGGGGCTTGACATGCCCCAACCGTCCTCTATCCAGCTCGATCTCCATTTGTTTCAACGAGTGGCTAAACACTGGACCTGCCCAAAGGAGGCCTGGCGACGGATAAAACCACTTGCCCCGGTCTGGACTGAACAACATAGGCACAAGTGGCTTGTACTGATTCAGTGGTAGTTTCTTGGGATGGCTCAAGCCTCAATGATCCTGACCCTGATCCTGTGACTCCCCTCCACTTGCTAGTACGCTTGTGCAATCCTCCGAAGAAACATGATAGCCATCGATTGTCCTGAAGTGATTTCTGTTCCGTCCTGTTCTTTTCAAAATGAGCTCTCGGCTATGCACCGCACTCTGCGATCAACAGGAACACACTTTAAATCAACTTTTGGAAAGTTCACCCCTTGGAGTCAGTATCGGAACCATTCCAACGCATTCTGTGTGGGGGTCGGACGACGGCGTGCCGCGGCATGCCCCGGGTTTTTCGAACTTGTTCTCGAAGGATCTAAGTGGTCAAAACATGTCAAAAAGTCATCAACACATCCGTATCGTCGTTTCAATGATATGTGATACGTACGCTCAATAGGCTCCAGCTCTATGTATCTATTACTGTCTATTTACAATCAATTTAGATTCAACAAGATTCAACAAGTGTTGTTATCTGCTAATATAGGCAGTACAATTACGGGTGAACTTAACAATTGCACTTGGAACAACAAAAAATCCTCGCAGGATGTTTGATTCAATTTTCATCACTCCACTCCTGTGCCCAGGACACGAAGGCGGCGCCGCGCGCGGTGCCACGCAAGGCGCCACCAAAGCACCAGGCGAGGGAGCCTGGAGCGGGTCCGGATGGGTCCGGCTGGGTGCTTTTGAGCGAAGGAGCATCATGACACATAGGCTTGTTACTAGTAGCATCTTGTTGTAATGGCCTCCAACCTACTAGTGACGGCCTCCACCTAGTAGCTTCATAGGAACTAGACTTCCAGCATTCATCAGCAGTTCCAGCAGGCATTTGGAAGCTCTTGTTCCAGCGATTTTCCTCTGCCGCGTGGCCGAACCAAATCCAAAACTTTGTGGCGCCTTCATCATATTCCATCATTATTAGACTTACACTCCGACTCACTAACCTTTGGAACTGGAAAAGGGGAAGACCACTTGCCTCTATACAAAGAGGTTTTCCACTGAAATTGGTGAGCCGGAGGGTAACACTTCACAACCTGCCCAGAATCGCCGCTTTCCCACGTGCCTCGCCGACCAAACTCCGCCGCAGACTCGGGGCACAAGGCCAGCGCGGGGCTCGGTGCGGGGCTTGCTGCCCGCGTGGGCTGCCCCTGCGGGGGGGCAGCACCTTTCATGCGGCATGCAGCAGGGCAAGGCGCGAAAACGGCATCTCTTCGAGCCCTCCCAAGGTTCACATGAATGGCATCTCAGGCAGTGCCAGTCAGTGAGCTGAGGGAACAGGCTCCACACGATCCACCCAAAGAATCAATGAGGGCATTTCCGTCCAGTGTAGTCAAGAGATCGCTTGCTGCAGACCCAAGCTCAACGAAGGATCTTTTTGCTTGAACATGGGCCAGTGGCAAGTCACAAGTGATCTACGGCATATGATCTTCATAAATGGGCTCAACAAGTCCTATTGCTTAGCAGCGGGGTATCTTCCCGTCTGCCTAAAGATCTGCGCACTGTGACCTCAGATCGGCCACACCCGTGCGCAGATTACACAGTGGCATCACTCTGGATATGTTTTTATTGTCGAGGCAGAGATGGCATCCTATCAGACGAAAGAGCAAGTGGATGCTTTGGTGAGCCAGTTGATTGCGCAAGCTACTGCATTACCTACAGCAGTGAACCTCGATTCATTGGATTCACCCAGCGAGGCACCGGGCATGATTCGACCAGTGCTGCAGCCCTTTGGTGCGCCGAGTCATCCATACAAGAGGTTCGACAAAAACAAGGATGTACAAGTTTAAGAACAATTCAAGTCATATTTTACTGGGTCTGGGTGGGTCATTTACCTGCTTGACAAGGTCTTAAAGCAGCAGTGGATCTGTTTTATTCTTCACCTACAAAGGCATTGGCACCTGGAGGCTTGGCTGTTGCATGCTGTCGCCCTGGTTGTTGAGACAGCCACGCGTCCTCAATGGAAAGCCCTCCCTTTCAAAAGGACTTTGATCTCAAGGTAGGTCTTGACCACGCGCAGGTAGGTGCCTTTGTAAGCATGGTAGGTACAAAGGACCTCAGTGGTCAGTGAAGCATCCAGGACTCAAGACGTTTCACAGCGTTAACTTGTCCCGAGAAAGCAAACACACTTGCATTTCCGACGCCACTGCGAGCCAAGTGGCATCCTTTTCAGCGCCATCCATGAAGCTCACCCATCTCGGCATGCTCACGGTCCATGTGCACAATTGCGAAGCTGAATCAGCTGAATCCTCCTTAAGCTGCTTAGTCCGTCGCCAGCTCTTTGATTCTAGATCATTTGAAGATGAATCTTCTTAGGAAGGAACAAGAACGCTACGAACGGGGCTCCTGGCCTTACGAACGGAGCGATCGCACGCTAGGAACAAGACCACGAGGGACAGACCGATCACTTGGACCCAGCGACCGAGCGTTTGGCCGAGCACTCAGAAGTCGAGCGACCTTGAAGGTTTTAAGGACCTCTGACCGAAACTGCCTGCGTGTGGCCCTGGCGCCCTGGAAAAGCGAGCCCTGCTTTTAAGTAACATGCTCTGCTTAAAGGTTGGAAGTTGCAGAAACTACCAACAAAGTTGCGGTCTTTCAGTTTCTGACCGCTCCAACCTTTTTCGCCATCCAGTCGCTGGATCTTCGACCGCTCTCATGTCCAGCCTTTCCCCCAAATTAGACCATCGACCAAAACTTCAGAGCCCAAGCGAGGCCTTTGCCTTGACAGCGAGGCCTTTGAATGTGCCGTGCTGTCGGAACCCGACACTCCGTCTCTAAGTGGGTGTGGCTGTCGGAGTGTCTGGCATGGGTGAAAGTCTGGGTTCAAACTAAGTATCAAGGTGTTGAAGATTGTTCAAGCCCTGAGGCTGAGGAGTGCAGCTCCGCGGCGCGAAATCTTTGGGTTCCATAGTCCTGTCCAAACACGACTTTTCCGACGAGTATCCTTTCTTTCTACGACTTGGCAGTATTCAAGTGCGGAGATGGATTCCTCTGCAGGGGCGTCTAGTATGGGACTTGGGACTCTGGAAGCTGCTGTCAAAACGGATATTCGCAGCTGTGCCTCTTCGGCTAGAATGCAGCCGGCTGCGACGCATATTTCTATGTGCAGTGATGGAGTGGCAAATTATGAAATTGTTCTTACCTCTCAGCTAAGTCATGCAAGACAAACCCATTATGTATATTCAAGCATCAGGCTAGCAGCCGCTTTCCGCGTGCAAAATCTACACCGAAAGACTATCGTTCCTTTCGCATTGATACTTATGGCAGGTGCAATAAGCACTTGTTGCCAAGGCCCACCGGCAAGCCGCCTAGTTGCTTTGCGGCATCGATGTGCGTATTGCAAAGACTGACGGTGTTTTGATTTGCCTTGGTCTTACACTTGTCTTACTATAAGCTTGCTGACCTCAAGGTGAAACTGACTCTTGTTGCAAGGCTAACAACTTCTTGTTGCACCTTGAAGTCAGCTTCTCAGCTTCAGTTCTTTCCAGGGCCATGCACTGGGAAGCGTCCAATGTGTGCTCGGCGTGGGTCTCCTGGCAAGCAATCACACACCGGAAGTGGCCTCCTCTGCGCACTTCGACGGTTCTCTATGAATGAACCCCCTCAATCCCCCTCACTTGTTGTGGCCATGTGAAGAACCTGAATTTCCTATATAACAACATATACGATGGAAATGGCAATCAAACCCTGTGAAAAGGATGCAGCTTCCAAAGGAATCCTTGCACCACTGCTAGGTCTGCTAGGTAAAATGGTCCATGGGAAATGCTGATGACCCAAACCAGGTTGGCGAGAAACCATGAGAAACCCATGTAGCACCTGACCTGTTTCAACAAACAACATCATACAATGTTCATCTCTGCAACGTCCTTTTTCATCATGGTTTACGATATCCAACCATAACCATTCCTCTTAGCTCTTTACTTCTAAGCTCAAGGGAATAGCTTGCGCATGCTTGCGCCGCTGTTCCTGTCTTGGTGTATTGTTTTCTACATGTGTCTTTGTTTTTAACGGGAGGAACACATAGGAACACAGTCCCGCTGGCCTTGCCGCCTTCCGGTCGTTGGTTGGGGAGCAGGTTGGTTCGACTCTGAAGCACTGAACAAGGTACCATTCATACTCAGATGGTTCATCCTTTCCCGAATAAGCTTGGTATCTAATCTCCAGTTCGATTCTAGAGCCTTCCTGAAAATCAAGCTGGCTATTGCAGAAGGTATTGGACACCACCTTCTTCTTTGTTCTTTCAATTCGTCTTGCTGTGTTTTTATTGGTGTAGCATCCAGGACCTAAGATACCTAAGGATACCTATTATATATCATATAAGGATCATATGTCACCCACAGATCCGATAAAGTCCAAGATCGTCCAAGTCAAGAAGTCTTTAGCAACCAAGCCGCCTGCGTGGCCGACAAACACAGCTGAGCACTTAGTCACATTTGCATGTCTGAGAAGCTGTTCTGGATGCAACTTCAACAGCAGTGGGCGAAGTGCAGTTGAATAAAGCAACGGCTGCGATCGAAGTTTCTTGCTGCTGAATCGTGAGGCAAAGCATGCAACACATCATCTGAAGTCAAACACTCAAAAGAGGATGCCAAGATCTTTCCAGATTTCGATGCAAAAACACCCTCACCAAGCTCAGTGGGGTTGGGGTCTGGTGGGTGCTGTTTATTCTTGTCACCACCACACCACATGTGGGTGAGCACAGCTCTGTCTTAAACGCTTCAAATCGATGTTGCATTCTGTGATTGGGATATCCTATCACTAAATTCGAACGAGGTCGACCTGGATTCGCCATACCTGGAACTCCAATTCGTGCAGACTGGATGTCCGGCACGGCCAACACGAGTGGCGGTGGCCGAAGCAGTGCGCCCAGTGCCGCGCCGCGTGACCGGGAGGTCCGGTCACCGGACGGACACGGGTGGCCGGGCTGATCGACAGTATCCGGGTTCCAGCGGAAGTGTGAGGGCAAATGAGACAAAGCTTTAGGATGAGTCGAGTGCGCAGCGGTCGCCGCAGTCTGAGAGCATGTTCCGCATAGTCACCAAGCCTCTCGACCAAGTGAACGATGGACTGAGCCGTCACCTCCCAACGACCACTCTCAATGAAAACAGTCTGGGCTGCTCTCAAGTCTTCCTGCCTCAAACACAACAGTATTTCCACATGGACCGCAGGCAGCCGCATGGCCTTTTCCAAACAGCAACCACAGCATCTCAGGGCGTTCGATATTTTGTGAGTGTTCTAATTCCAAGTGAAATGCTTCGGGTCCGACGTCGGGTTAGGCACCGTCTTAGAGTCATTCAAGCGCCAAGTGAGCTATGGAGAAAACACGAACCTGTATGCTCCGTCCGAGGAATGCGGAGGTCGCAGGTTGTTTATGGGCTTTGATTAATGGGATCGGGTCGGTAGGAACCTTGTTTAGACGGGAGAAGTTGATGTCATAAGCGAGCGATACAGGCGAACTGGGACCAGAACTGGAACCAGAACCAGGTCTGCGAACAGGCATGTGTTCTTTCTTGGATGAGGTGCATGAGGACACAAGCAGGCCAGCACAGGTTTGGGCCAAAGCTTTACCAGGGATCTGGGCATCTCTGGGCCAAAGGTTAAAAAATCAACTTAACCCCAGTGCTTTTGATCCGAAAGTCCGCTATTTCTGGCAGACCTTCTATTTATCGACAAGGACCCATGATCAAAATCCAGCTCTGCATCCTGTTGCAGTCCAGAAAATGATCCTTTCTAGGAACTCACTATTAGAGCTCCACAAACTCAGTGATTGGTTGATTTTGTTTGGGGGAAGGCCGTCCTCACCCGGCAAAAATTTGACCAACAGCTACATTCCATGCACAGAATGATCAGGCTGCGACACTTTTTGTGCTGTTTTTTCACCCAGTTTCCAGCCATTTCCTTGCTATTGTGCGAGAAATCAATGATTTCAAGTGGAGTTATTGCTGCTTCAGGGGCTTCCCACTTGCGTTTTGTCCTGACCAATGGAAAAAAGGCCGGACTCGAAGGCTCATAGGCTTTCTAGTCTTATCGCATGACATTTCTGAGGCCCTCCTCTATCAGGCCAGGACTCTCAACACAGGGTGAGAGTCCACACTTGACCCTCTGATCCGAAAAGCAAGCGACCGGTTGCTGTGGCAGTTCGGCTCATAGAGACTTATACGACCGACCTTCTGATTTCTCACCGAAAGAGTGGCGCCCTGGCGCGCAGTTCGTTCACACGAGTGGATAGGTGCCAGGCCTGGTCTGTGTCGACAGGACCAGTTGGTCTCCATGTTCCAAGGGGCTCTGAACCTTGGATCAAGTGGAATTGACAAATGATGACAAATGGCTTGGGTAAATCGCATTGCCTGTAACAGTGGATGATGATTGGTTAGGTTGCAGGCTTTTCTCACAAATAGAGATATATTTTATCGACTGTTGAAGACAATATAACACAAGAACTGGTTGTTTTCTTTCAGGACTATCTATCTGTTGGACAAGTCCTTCGTTGAGTCAGCTTACGCAGAGGCACGTGCATCAGGGTCTCCCATGGGCTCAATATGTCCAAGATCTCTAGGTCCTAAAACAACAAATATATATATATATATTATAATATATATCTCAAAATTAATATCGTGGAAACAGCCTAAACAGCCAAACTGTTTTAAGCTCTTGCAACACCCGAAGTGAAAGGTATTTGGATGTATATTGTAATATATATATAGTTTGTATTCTGTAATCTTATCAAACTGTTGGTGTGTGGCCCAACAAACCAGCCACTCAACCAGTCTGAAGATCCTTCAGGTATCCACAAACATGGCACCCTCCCTCAAAAGATCTCAAAAGCTTGTTGATGTATGGAAAGATCCTTCTAGATTCTAGATAAACTTTTGCGAATGTCTTGCGTGCCCCATGCCTAAGTTTCGTGGGGGGATCAACCCTAGAATGTGCTCTGGCCCTTACCAAACATCAGTCTGGGTATGGTTGAACACTCCCGATGTTTCTGTCTGAGGTTGGCGTGGACTGCATTGAGATTGGCGACGGCTACGGCAAGTTCCTTGTTATTGACGTCGTTCCCTGGCAACATGTGGGAAGGAGTGTTCCAATTGTGTTTTCACATTTGCCAAGGCGTTTGAGCATCTTTCACGAAAACCTGTCGGGCGCTGAGCGAGTTTTGATTTCCCCAAACACAACTAGATATATCATATCACGGAGTCCTTTGTTTTTCCCCAAATAGTGCTCCGCACTAAGGGGTTCTTACGGTAAGAGTTAAGCGGGTTTAGATCAGGGTTCGCGCGTGTGGTCCCGGCATGTTGCGTGGGCCGGCTCGCACAAAAGTTACTTTTTGAATTCCTCATGTCCATTTCGACTGCGCAGGCTCGCATAAAGTGGGGGTCGCGGTTTTCGCGCTTCCGGGACAAAGCTCTCGTGCAGGTGCCGTGCTCGTTTTCGGACCTGAAGTGAATTTCGCGTGGCAGGCGCAAGGAATTCGACACATTGGAGCCTCGAAAAGGTCATTTTACGTGGCAGGTGCAAGGAATCGGAGACTCTGCAAATTTCGTGGCAGGCACAGTGTTTTGTGGACGTTGCAAAAACGTTGGCAGGCGTGTGTCATTCGCAGGACTGCGTTTCACGTGGCAGGCGCAGGGAATCCGCACCATGGATGCGATATTTTGAGGTGAAACGGCTGAATTCGTGAGAGGGGTCGCATTTTTGGACTTTGACCTTGAGGATGATTTTGCGTGGCCAGTGCAGCATTTCGTATGACCTGCAGGCATGATTTCGTGGCAGGCGCAGCATTTCTGAAGCACATTTCAATATTTGCGAAAGCCTCGTGCAATTTGCTCAGAGTTCGTGGCAGGCGCAGCACTTTGTGAATCTCGATGTGCAGATTTCGTGGCAGGCGCAGCACTTTGTGAATCTCGATGTGCAGATTTCACTCTCCTCCTTACAAACTCACGCCTGGTCCCTCTGGTCTTTCACATGCTTCCGCATCTGCTGCTCTCATCTGTGCACTCTCACATTTGTGCTCTTGTATGTCTCCTCTCATATTTGTGCTTTCATCTGTGTGCTCCTTCTTTCCTTCCACGTGATGCCATGTTCCATCTCTTCCTCTTTACACTATTTGGGGTCCCTTGCCGGTGTAATTTAAAGGTTGACTTCGATCGAAATCAATGAGCAACTTTTTTGCCGACTCCAGGTTTGCAACATGAACTTCTCGGTGCAAAGTTCTTAAAGCGATCTTCATACAACCATTTTAATCAATTCACTCTGGTGTACATTTGGGGTTTCTGGATGTTTCTGACGAATCTTCCAGATCCTTTTTGTTTGAGTTATCACCGAGCATCACAGGCGTCGTCGGGCGGGAGATCTTCCCAAACACCACTCCTGGGAGCGAAGCAGCGAGCGGGGCCCAAGCGCCCGAGACCCTCCATGGGGAGGGCCTCCATGAAACCCACGACATGAGCCTAAAATCTGTTCGGCTACCCTTTCTTCCTGTTCTTTTATCTTTGTTTCTATTAGCGATGGCCTCCACCCTAGTAGCGATGGCCTCCAAGGGTGTTACACGAGGAAAATCTCACCCGTAGACCGTCTGACCACAACAACAACAACCACGACGACGACGACGATGACGACAACGACGTCGATGACGACAACGACGTCGATGACGACAACGACGACGACCACGACAACGACAACGACAACAACAACAACGACAACGACAACAACAACAACAACAACAACAACGGTTTCAGCAGTCGTGGAGTTCATCAGGTGGGGTTGCTTTCTTGCAGGGAGTGTTAATGGTTTGACATGGTTGGACCATCTTAGGCCAAATGACACCTATCTGCGGCCTGCTGATGCCTCTTTTCTACCTTCGACGTGTTTCGTGCGTTTCACTCCTTTCAACCGAGTCCAAGTCTCCGCACAGCGCAGCCAGGCATCACCAAGGGACATGCTGTCCGGACGAATGCTCCGGTCAAAGCTCGAAGGACGGTGGGATGGTCGATGGATTCAAAGCAGAAGGCGGAAGAGGGGGTCACGAAAGGCTTTGGACGTGCAAAGAAAGCCTTGAGTTTGAAGCTCAGATCTTGTGAAATATCTCCTCCAAATGCTTGGACCAGTTTGCCGTCGTCATGCCACTTCTTTGGTCCAACTTGTTCAACCATCTAGGCCGGCAAGGGAGCTTAAAGGAATATTGGCCTCCTTCACAGCTGACTGCTTGGCGGCTGACGAACGGCGGCAACCGCAGCCGAACGTCGTGGACCCGATCCAAAGCGGATGGACGACGTTCAGCCACGGGATGAGCATCGTGGCTTTGGGGGGAGGGATACCGTTTTGCTGCCACCAAAGGAATCAGCATGGAGTTTTTAAGGTCTTTGATTGTCCTAATCTTCAAGTTTAGACATTCATGGAGTGTTTTAATGGGAAGTCGGTGTCTGACACGTCTTAACCGAGCGGGTAGGCTTCTTCAAGAGGTTTGGGATAGTGACCCGTGCCTGAAGTGGTTTGTTGTTAGGCGAGCTTCGATTCATTTTAACCTTGCTATGTTTGGGACTCAGCATGGCCATTGCCATGGTGGCTGCACAAATCCTTGGCCAATCTTTGGCAAAGCTGCTGTGATATGTGCAAGGATGTCGCTCTAACAACTGTGATGGACAGAATCTGCTTTTTACCAGCTGGGACTAAGAGTTGCTACTGTATAGCTGGGAGAAGAAGGTCCTAATTGTGACATGTATATTTATTCCTTTTCGTACAAGACAAGACCACCAAGATCTTGGCTGGCTCTACTCGTCTCGCTGGCAAAGTTCTTCGTCTGTCAGGCCGGAAGTCAAGGGTTTCTGGAAGCTTGATCGGAAGGGCACGACGACCTTAGGGTAATGTTGTGTGCTGTAATCATCTGCCGAGATGACCCGGATTTCCCATCCCGACTAAAGAGTCTTTAAGTTCTTCACCATTTTCAGCCTTTCTTATCTGCTGCCAAGCACTTCTTCTATATGTCTATATGTCAAACCTTCAGCATTGACCTAGCTCCATGTCGCCTTCCCTGAGCCGAACTGGGTCGTTCACTGTTGAACCAGTGACACTTTCAAATCCGAAAAAGACCTGGTCCAGCTGGGCCCTACAGGCCAAGCACCAACCTTTGCATCGTTGGACCGGATCTGGGCGTGGGTACAGGGCTGTGTACCCCTTGGCGT